CTGGAGGAAAAATAGCAAAGTAGCAAAAAGCAGAGTAAACAAAAAAGAAAGTTTTATTTGTTTTGGGTTTTTTTAAATAAAAAGCTAACACGATCCATTGATAAAACCATGCGACACCAACCGTTTTGAAGCTCTGGTTTTCTTATCAGTGGCGACTCTTGCGCTGACGGCTCCGTCGAAAGCGCTCTGAAGAGTTTCTGCAGTCGTCGTCTCAGCCAGGCCGGCAATAAACAGGGTTTTCAGCTGACCTAAACATGACAGCGCTCACTTAAACGCTTCTGGAGAGCGTGGCACATTCAACTAATGAAGAAAGCCTTAAAGTACCTTCAGCTTTCTCAGGCTCCACACCGCTGCGAGCCCTTTCAACTTTAACCTTCTGGTTACAGATCTTGATGGTTTTGGACTGCTGCAGCGCTTTTTCAGCGCTGGCCACGGTTGCAAACTCGACAAAGGCAAACCTGCAGAGAATCGCAAATGTCTGGTGAGAGTCCTGAAGGGAATCCGTAGCATAAAGAGTGGAGAAAGCGTTGGGTTACCGTTTTCTTTCATCTTTGCCTGCAGTGACCACTGGCCGTGTGAGAATCCTCACACTAACAGCTTTTTTAAAGGCGGACTTCAGGTTGCTTTCTTTTGCTTTTTCAGGCAGATGGCTTACGAATAAGATGTTACTTGGAGGAGCTGCAGCTGTTGGAATTAAAAGGATCTCATTAATTTTTAAAACTGTCAGGCGGCTAACAGACTTGATTTGATGATGAGGTCTTCTTACCCTTCGCTTTTTTACCGCTGGCTTTGGATTTAGCGGCCTCTCTTTGTTGTACACGATCCACGATCAGGTCCCGGCCTTTAATCTGAGCTTTTTGTTTTTTCTTAAGCATTTCATCAGCAATGGCTTTGTTTTTAAACTCCACAAAGGCAATGCTGTTAAAAAAATGTCCATTAGATGAGAAATTTGTGAAAAATGCTTTCCTCATAAAACATCAATAAAAAGATGGATGATGCTTTTTTTTAGTTTTGTTTCTTGTTTAAAGGAAATGCTGCGATTGTGAAATTGTGTTTTTTCGACATTAGCAAGATATTGACATAGTTTTGCACACATTTGTATGAAAATGCAGCTACTGTTTGAAGTTAAATCAGATCAAAAACCTGTTTGACAATCAGAATTACAAGAATGCTTTCTTTTTGCTAAATGCCACAATAATAACAGCAAGAAGTAGTCAAAGATTTATTCTTCAATATCTTTGAAATCAGATGTCTACATACACGTCCTCTGTATCTGGTCACATTCCCATTGAACTGAAAGCCTAAAAAAACATCATGCAACTAAAAGACACATTGCACACGAAGCTCTACGATAGAGTTCGTTCCATAAGACATTTAGCCATAAAATGTTCAGTTTGAGATACTCAGCCATTAAAACATTTGCACTTCTGCTTTCGATGTTCTTTTATGCCGTTTATCTTGATTTGTTTTTCAATTTCAGCACTTATTTGCAGTGAGTAACCTGCAGGATTTTTATCAGTTTTCACATTATTGTACGGATAAATTCGAATTAAAGATGTTAAGAGACAAAAACTGACGGTATTTTAGGAACTGTTGCTTTACTATTTTCACCAGTTTTTGTTCCACGACAGTCTCAATAAATATTAATGTAGTTATTATGTGGAGTTTAGTGATATAAATCACACTTCTTTAGTTAAGTAGTGTCCTCAAAAAGCCTGTTTTAAATAAGATTTCTTTTTTCCAAGAACAATATTTGTGTTTGTGTCGTTATGAATGCTGTCATGCAGTCACAGCCATACAGGTACCTAAAAAAGAAAAACTAATTATCATTTTTATTTTCACAACTGTATCCTATTAGAAATAATCTAACTGACCTAAAACAGGGGAAGTTCTTCTAATTTAACTTTTAGAGTGAGTAAGTAAAGGAAGAGACATTGTGATGAAACGTAAAGTCCAAATTGTCCACCCATAGTTACCTGTCTGGTACAATTTAACCTTTTGGTTTCAACTGTAGAAGGGAGAAATATGAAAACGTCCAAACTCTCACCCATGAGTCGGACTTTTGGCTCCGCCAGGAAAGCGAAGAGAGACGGCTTTGCGGAAAACCTTTCGGATGTCTTCTTCAGTCGCATCGTATGGGACGTTCTTCAGAAACAAGCACCGCTTGTCTCTCGCTGACAAAACAAAAAACATCAAATACTCAATCATTCGCATGTACAAATCTGTTTAAAACTGGAAGACCAGGGAAGAGATGACAAGTTTTCCCCATTTCATGCTGGAGGATCATGACCGGTTCTTAGCTGACCATCAAAAATCCAAAAGAAGAAACAGGAGCAGAATTTTATCAACTGACCAAAAGTTTAACTCAAATTAAACTCAAAATGTTATAATCTGTGAATAAATATGGCTTTTGTATAATTTTACATCAGGCTCCTTAATGTTTTAACTTTTTATTCATTTTGTTCAAAATACTTTCATATTTAACGCCCTTTAAAAAAAAAAAAAAAAAAAAAAAAAACACTTTATGGTTAAAAACACTTCCAGCATTTAAGAATTAATTAAACACCACTGTTACGCACATTTTTGATGAACCAAATGCAATATTTTTATATGACTGTTGTTTTGTTAATGTAAACACCACTTGAATTTAAAATATGACTGGAACTCTAAAAGCAGAGTCTGTTTCTATTCGCAGAGTGCAGAGCTGACAGAGGAGGTGGGATGGAGACATTTAGTCTAACAAAACATGGTAACACTTGAAGTGAATCATTTTGCTCTTTTTCTCTTTTGAGAATCACATGTTTTGCTTACATGTCGCTAACTGAGTTAAAACAGTTTCCAATTTCAATTGATCAAAACCTGCAACAACTTAGCATTTACATTATTGCAGCTCATTTTATTAAGCTATTTTGAGAAACTGTTGACTGCATGCAGAATGCTGGTGCCACTGGTTTGTACAAATAAATAATTATATAACATCAGGTTATACAACAGAACTCAAAATTTCTCTTTAGAGGATATCTAAAATATTCAAAGAAAATGCAGCTTGGGAAGCTGAAATATTTAGGCACAATGCTACTTGACACAGCATTGGCTGGCATTTGCAAACAAGCAGATATAAGTGTTTTTAGAGGGTGTCTTGATCTGTAGACACTCACCCCCTCGAATATCTGGGGTCTGCTGTACAAGTTTACCTTTCTTATCCACAGGTGGCGCTTTCGACTTGCCCTGGTCGATGCTTTTAACTTTGGCTTTCGCCAGCATCATGGGCTGGTCGAGGATTTCCTCTCCATTCAGAGCCAAAGCTTTTTTCAGGTCCATATTTGAGGCCATATCTACAAACGCATGCCTCCTACAAGAGCAGAAAGTTGTTTGTTTTATTAACCGTTCCATGCATCAGCAGCTCTAAAAAAAACAACAACAAAAAAAACCCCTCAATCGTAAACATCTAAATAAACTCACTTGGAATGTCCCAACCGGATTTCCTGAAACAGCAGACTTTGCGTCATGAAGCACTTCGCCAGAGAGCTTTTGATTTCCTCCGATGTTTTGGTGAAGTTCAGGTTGCCAATATAAAGACAAAGACCTGCAACGGAGGAAAACATTTGAAGCGCTGTTTACTGAAAGAAACTGGCGTTTGGGTGTCCACCACAGAATGAGTTCATACCGTCATTGGTCGGTTTGGTTTTCTTTGACGGGGAAGAATCAGAGGCAACGTCTGCTTTCCGTTTTCTATTTACTGTAAGACACAAATTCAGACAATCAGCAACCAACACGTAAAAGAAAACTTTATTCTCCAATGACAGCTGTTAAAAGAGTCTGAACCTATGAAATAAAATGTGTCTTTGGAAAAATAAATAGACCATTAACTACATTAATTCATTACTGAGCTACAATTCCTCAAATTAAAGAGCTCAGCATCACAATGGAGCCAACCCTGACCAGCACCTGTCGTCTCTGTCTTTTCTTCTTCTCCTTCTGCATCCTTCTTCTCCCAAGATACCGTCACCGTGGGAACGTTTCTTTTTACCTCAATGTCCATTTGAAGATCTTTAAAAACAAAAAAAGAACTTTGCATTAATTATTAGACCTGTCAAAAGTAGCCGTTTCCCTAAAAATGTTGCCTGTTTGTTCTTAATCAACTTATTTGTATTGAAATAAATTAACCCTATGCTATTTGTCTTTATTAACAAAGCTATTATTATTATTATTGATATTGTGTCGAGATTGAATTGTGTGTACTGTGACAAACATATCTCGGATCCGGCTTGTCATACCTCTCAGAGTTACATGCTATGAGTCACAGTACCTTGCTCGTCTCCACTCTCCTCCTGTCGCATCTCCACTTCGATGTTCTCTTCTGGCTGCCAATCTGATGCAATGAAACTATTTTTATTATCACCATGCAAATGGAAAGACGTGAGCATACTTCATATTAATCATCAAGATAAAATAACCTACCATTATTGTGTGTGTTCTCTTCCTTTACGTTGTTAGTTTGGCTTTTTTTCTGTCTCTTATTCTAAGAAGAAAAAAAAAGAACAAACAAAAAAACAAGAAAGTTACAGTTTTGCATTGCTGGCTGTTTGTCAGTCAAATCAGAAAGTGACTGAAAAACGTACAGGTCTATAAGTAAAATAATAGAGTTAATAAAGTTATCGCTAGTAAAAAAATACATTTAACTTGTTACAAAATTCTAATATCTAAAATAGTGCTTTCACGTAGAGGTTCCATGTTTTGTTAAGCTAAGCTGCTAAATAACAAGCTAACTTGTTAGCTTGACGGTTTACTTACAACGGTTGACTTACGTTGTCTATAAACACCGCCAGCAGCAGTTAATATGAACATAAATATTATTCTTACTTGTTTCTTTGCCATGTTATGCTGCAACAGGAAGCGTAGACATAAAAACACACGTGTGGATCAGATGCAAGTAAAGCGTATGCTACACACTGCGCATGTGTTGCACCAATCTACGGATGCCGGCAGGGAGAGCGCGCTGCTCAGGTGGTATGCGAAAACTACAACTGAACAGTTTCTGAATTCCTCCTTTAATGACAACCGTCGACGTTGTAAACTCTATCTAGGTAGCATGAAATGGTTTCTAACAGTCTCATTTTCAACTAATAATCATATAAATGTCTATTTCTAACAGTTAGCCATGTAGCCTTAGCTTGAGTCTAATCTAATAGTTCCCCTCTGTATTCACCACCCAGTCTGTAGAGACTCTCCTGACACGTAATCGCGTTAGCTTTTCTCACACATTTCCAGGATGTCGGTATGTTATTAGAGCAGATTGGAGCTTTAAATGGCCGGAAATGTAATCTGCAGCGCTATGTTTGTTTCTGAGCAGGTTGGACTGGAACTGGACTCCAAAGAAACCAAAGTCCAGGGTTCGAGTTGCAGTCCCACCATCCGCCCAGGCTCAAACCAGAGCCGGTGGGAGCAGACCATGGAGGACCCGGGATTCCTCTGAGACACATAATTAGGTTTTCCTTTTCGTAAACTCATCTGATGTTTACAATAATGGGCAGTCGGAGAAACGGCTTAACGAAGGAAAGCTTCATCCTGTCTGTGGACGTCGGTACAACGTCAATCAGATGTCATGTGTATGACAAGGAAGCGAGGATTCGAGGGTCATGCAGCAGCGAGGTATTATATTTACATTTAATAGATTCTTCAATTTTTACCCGCTATTTCCATAAGGGTGTAAACCTTTAAATGGGATTGTATGTGGTTCAGTAACAGAAAGTACTAGATGAAAACAAACTGAGATGTTTGTCCATTCTTCTTTGCAAAATAGTTCAAGCTCTGTCAGATTGGACGGAGAGGATCTGGATCTAGACTGGGCGGTTCTAACACATAGATATACTGCATAGATATATTGTGATCTAAACCTTTTCACTCTAGCTTTGGCTGGGTCATTGATGGACTTGACAGAAAAACAATATCACAACAGACACTTGATCAAGATAGGACAGAATTCAGATCCAGAAATGATGGATCCGAACTCAGATTAATACATTTTTTTGTCATTTACGGTCATTTAAAACATATTCTAGTTTCAGTAATAAGCATTTGTTTACAAAATTAAACTATTGGTCTTTTGAGAGGGCGAATTTGCATTTTTCTGTCACTATTATTATAGTACTTGAAAATGGTCTGAAAACGACAATGTTATTGTTTATCACAACGATTTCTGGAACAATTTATTGTCTGAGCAACATTTGTTATTGTGGCACACCTACTGCCAACAGATCCTCTTACCTAAGCTGCACCGCTTTGTGTTGGTTTATTATTTAACACACTAACAAAATGCACTGCAAATGTAGAAATGTAGAATGGTTATGAAGTATTTTCAGTATTTTGAAGCTCTTTGCATAAACCTGTTTTTCTGCCACATTTAAAGCCAGATTATTCCCTGTGAATGTTCCAGGTTGTCCTGTTGTATCCAGAGGTGGGACATGTGGAGATGGACCCCGATGCATTGTGGGAAGGCTTTATCACTGTGGTCAAAGGAGCAGTGCAAGGTACAGCCACACAAAGTCCTGTTATCGAATCTATCTGCAGCTATGTCAGGGCAGCAATGCCAACAGGATTCGAGCAGCGTTAACTGTTACAGTTCTACGCTAATCCTTTGGTAAGTGTTGCTGCGTTCCTGTTACAGATGCAGGAGTCCAGATGTGCCAGATGGAGGCCCTCGGCATCTCCACTCAGAGAGCAACCTTCACCACCTGGGACAGGTCACAGAAATGAAATAGCCTGACAGTTTCCCATTCATTGAGAAGCTGGAAAGTGAACGAGAATGCTTCCGCTTTGACATTCCTATGATTCCTCTTCTCTCTCGTTGTGTTGGAACTTTAACAGGAGGACGGGGGTTCCTTTTCACAACTTCATCAGCTGGCAGGACCAAAGAGCTGCAGACCTGGTGAAGTCTTGGAACAGATCCTGCATTATGAAGGTGGATATCCATCCATCCATCCATCCATCCATCCATCCATCCATCCATCCATCCATCCATCCATCCATCCATCCATTCATTCATTCATTCATTCATCCATTCATCCATTCATTCATTCATTCAGAGGCGGGTCCATCAATGGGCTCCTTGACATCTTTACGTCTTATATATCGCTAATAAACATCATATAAGAAAGTACATTTTCATGGAGGTAGTACTTTATGTAACCATATTGGGATTGGAATATTTAAATATTTGAAATTTAATTTTTTAAATGAGATTTTCCAAGAAACTCTTAGACTTGTATTGTTTAAAGAAGCACAAATAAATCCTCTTTTCTTTGTTAAGAAAAGATGTTCTCTGGAATGAACTGATTTATTTACAGTAATCACAAAAATGAAGATTGTTTAGCGCAATAATTTCTGTGATGCGATTAAAAACTATAAAAAAACATTAAAAATATTTGATAACTATTTTTAGTCATTAAATAGGTGTATAAATCACCTGCTTTATCTACATACATTAGATTGATTTGTTTAGACTACAATCCGGTGTTTGCCAATAACACAAAGGATCTCACAATGCAATCAAAAGATTATTCTGGCCTTCTTACAGAACAAAGGTTTCCTTCTTGATTGTTAAACTAGTGTATCTCTTATTGTACAAGTATGCAATGTCATATAAACAGTAGCAACAGCCTGATGCTGGTCCCATAAGGACATTTTAGAGGTGTGGTAACCTCCTTTAGCATCTTGCTGACTGCTTTCAGGGTGAACAGCCAGACCTGGGAATGTTTTCTGCTTATAAACCGTTTTCCCAGACATTGGAATTGCTAAGTGTAATTATTTTAGATCTTTTTAAATCCCTTACTCAAAAGGCTGAGTAACTTTGTTCTCATCATGTCCACCCAGTGTGATACAGCAGTAAGTGATTCATAGGGTTAGGGTTCATGTTTGCGTGTGTAATTTGGAGCAGCAGCCCAAAGGGGGCGTAAGAACGAGGATTTCATCAACAAGCTCTGCAGGTTAGGCAGTCATTTTTAACTCTGTTTCCACTCCATCCCATAACCTAAATATCCTGCAGAGTGGAAACCTGTGGTGCGTAAAACCAGGCCTGAAATGATTAATGTCATTTCAGGCCCATTGATTGAGAAATGAATCAATTATTGAGATAAATGGCAACTAATTTAGTAATCGATTAATCGTTAAAGGAAGTATGCAAGTTCAAAAAAAGCCAATTGTTAAAAGAACAACAAATACAGGGAAGCAATTAAGCAAAAATGTTGCATTTGAAAATACTAATAATAAAACTTCTTTGTCTGTGAAATGTTCTAACCAGAACTCCTTAAGTAGAATAGTTGTATTATTATTCTATTTAGCAGATTTTGATATACAATTATCATTTGGTTAATCAAAAACCTAATCACAACATCACCTGGGTGACACTTTACTGATGCCATGCCAAGCAGAAAGGCCTGAGCTTTTTACATTACTTCAGCTGCGGATGCATTTCATAAAACAAATGCATTCACTTCAGGCATACCATGTAACCTCATTTTAGGCAATACAATTTCTCTTTTCTTATTTATTATGTATAAGATAAGCTTAAGTGGTTAAATGAAAAATCTGCATAATGTGACTTTTTCTTAATCTGATTAATTGACAGAATAACTAATTGATTAATCGATTACTAAAACAATTAGAAATCGCAGCTACATATAAAATACATTTGCAGAAACTTTCCATATGACAGTCCTTCTGGGTAATAATATAACATTGCGTATACTGAGACTCACTGATGTAGAAAGGCAAATCAAGGCCACTGTCATGTATGGTGGAGGATCCGTGACGCTGTGGGCCTGCTTCTCTTTCGTCAGAACCTTGCTAAGCTGCGTGGGAATCTGGATAATGACCCAGAACCCGTGACCAAATGAGCATAGATATTTCACCAGTCTAACTCCTCCTAGTTCCATGCCCACCTCAGTCCTCAGACCTAAATCCTGTAGAAAACATGTGAGCTGAAGAACAGAGAGCTTAATGTCTTTTCAATGTGAGGTTATGTTGGTGGAATTTCTTTTATTTGTATCAGAGATACATAAAGGTGGAGGGTGCTGTTACATGGCACTGTTTAAAAATAATAAAATGACTCTTTAATGTAATCATGGAATGTATAAATGACAGTGTCATAATAAGTTGTGGGAATACACTCTGACCTCTACTCTGTCGTGTGATTGGCTGTCGCTCTTCTAGTTTAACACAACTTTACGATGTGTGTGAACTCTGTTCCCGCTGATAATCACATTAATATTTTGTTTCCATGTCAGCAACATAATCAGTCCCAAACGTATTTGATTATCAGTGCAGTGGGTACATCATAGAACTAAACTACCAGGTACCCACCACTGATTGGCTGATAGCAACATGACTTTGACTCAGGTTTTAGATAAACATGGCTGAGTTGGAGCTGAACATGATGACCACTCATTCACCCTCTTTTTTTATCTTTATTCGTGTTTCTTGACACTCTCAGATAATCCACGGCGCAATGAAGGTGGCCTACTTCCTGACGCGGGACAAGCGGTCGCTCGCAGCGAGCCTGATCGTCTTTTCCACCCAGCATGTCACCTTTCGTCTCGTGTGGGTGTTGGCCCACTACAAGCAGGTGTGTGGACGACCCGTCCGGTGAACACAACAGGAAGGTTGAATGAAGCTCTGCTGATGTGCTTCTGTTTCCTGCCTAGGTAGATAAAGTAAAAACCCACAAGCATGAGTTAAAACAATATCTCCAGGGTTTGCAGCGTCTTGAGCTCTAACGCTGCAAAGGTTTTAGATCTCTCACAAAGTGTGTTCTGTTATTTCTTCTTTTTGTTTGTTTGGTAACTTCTTAAAACTTTTAGTGGGAAACAAAACAAGCAAACATTAACATGAAGGCTAACCTGAGTTCATGTAGAATGCAGTTTGAATCTGTTCCTTTGTGAAAAAAGAATTCCTCCTCCTTTACTTTATCACAATATATAGCCAAAAAAAAAAATTATCCAAAATCAGAATTGGCAGGTCAGGCTTTTTGAAAGTCATCCAGCGATCAGCCAGGAAACTACAATCGGTGCAACTCAAATTTTTTAGAAGGTGCTTCATCATTCACAAACTTTAATTTAAATATAAAAATAAAAATAAAAGTATATTTTGGTAACAGTTAAACATGGTGGTGGTTGTGTGATGGTCTGGGCTTGACTTTCCAGCTTTAGGACCAGGACAACATGTCATAACTGTGAATGCTTCTATCTAGCATAAAATCCCAAATGTTTAAGGACTTGAGCTCAAGCTGGGTAATACAGCAGGACAGTGACAAAAGCACCTCAGCCATTTTAGCCTGAATAGCTTCTAGACACAAAGTGAAGACCTGGTGGCTGACTGTTCATGCTCAAACGTCCCCAAAGGGGTGAATTCAAACAATCCTGCTAAGAAAAGGAGATTGAGAGATCCACTGAGATGTAAAAGACTGGCTGTCCTGTGCTAATGGGTTACTTTTTTTTCTTTTTACTATTAATAAATTATATCACCACTTAAGAACTGTTTTTGTATTAGCTCTGGTTATGTTTCACTAATACAAGAATTTGTTTAGCGATCTGAAACAATACTTTTTCAGGGCATTGTAGTTTTTAACGAGAGCAGCACAAAAAGACATGATCCCAGTGTGGCTCATTTTCCAAACCAACCTTCACACCGGGTCAATAATCCCAGCAGGAACAGACTGTACTCTTCCTCCTCCTCATCATCACGGCTTCTTCTTTTTCCAGGTCCATCAGGCGATCGAAGAAGGCAACTGCTGCTTTGGAACCATAGACACCTGGCTCCTGTTCAAACTCACCAAAGGTTGGTGTCAGTCACTCACACACACACACACACACACACACACACACACACACACACACACACACACACACACACACACACACACACACACACACACACAGACAGAGCATTTGTAGAAATGTTTGATACAAACCTGCCAGTTTGACACTGTGGACTTTCTAATAGGATATTAAGGTCCATACTGGACGCTCTTTGTCTCACACATTTCTCTTGCATCGCTGATTGCCTGCAATTTCTGAGGAATGTTTCAGCCCTCTGCAGGAGGCAAAGTGGAAAACAAGCGATTAGGACTTTTTTTTTTCCAGGTAGTTCCTTCACATATTGCTGCCCAATCTGTTTCAGGTCGTGTCCACGCCACAGACTACTCCAACGCCAGTTCAACTGGGATTTTTGACTCCTACCAGGTGTGGTGCATCACATTGCTGCTTCCTCTCTGCTCAGCATGGCGGGGTTACTGTATTTTAATTTTTTTACCTCTCTGTCATGTGTTGTTTCACAGATGTGCTGGAGTGGGTTTCTCTGCTCTCTTGTCTCTCTGCCCCTCTCAATATTCCCCCAAGTAGAAAATACAGGGTAAGTTAAACCTTCACTGCAAGTCAAGACGTTTCAGCTTCTGGTCAGTAGAAGTTTTTACCAGTAGAAGAACACAGAGACATTAAAAACAAGATGAGCATAGATCTGAACTGTGTGGTTGATTTCTCGTTTTTGTAAAGCTTTCCTCTCCTGGAGGTGTCGGGCTGCTGATGAGGGTTGGAATTTACTATTAGTTTGAATCTGACAGAAAATCTGTGGGAGGATCTAAAGACTAGGGTGATGGCAAGGAGGTCTGCCAACCTCACAGCTCATCACCAAAATCCCCATGGAAACATCCAAACAGCTGCTCAGCAATTAGAAGAAGGCTTCGATCGGTGTAATGCTAATCAAGATGTTTCCATTGATCATTGAAAGGAGTATAAATCATTAACATGATATTTAAAAATAAAATGCAAATAAAAACTTTTTTTTGTTTCTAAACTGATTGGCACTTCTGCATTGCTTTGTTTATATACAGACTTCTAAAATCAATAAAATTGATTTCAAATCTAAAACTACTGGAGGTATGACTACATTCAGACTTAAAGGGGCAGTATTATGTGTTTACAAGGGACATATTGCCATTTTACTGCAATATAACTATTTTACCTTCAGTTATTATGAAAATGCAATATATATATATCAAATATGATTAAAAATAAATGTTTCTTTTGACTTCGCACCTTAAAACTGGGCCTCTGTCTCTTTAAAATCTCTTGCTCTGTTTGAAAATGCACCTTCAGGAAGTCATCACGACATGGCTCTATTAACCCCTCAACGTTTTTACCAGAGTTGCACTGAGAGGTAGCTTGTATAATGAGCTAATCAGATATGCAGTTCTACCAGGTATTTGCTAAATGCTGCTGGCTAGTCTGAAGGAGCAGAGCTGGTGAGGGCCTTTCAGTGAAGTGGAAGCTTGGACACTGCAGCTCAAAAGAGTCAATTTTACATAACACTGCCCCTTTAACTGTAGGAAAGTTTTTTTTTCTTTTTTTTACTAGTTTGTAAGTGGATTTGATTTAGATTTTTGTCTTTTTAAAGTTAACATACTAATATCTGTGTATTAATAACATAACCTCCATTTCCAGTGAGGTGGAAACATTAATAGGTTGTTGGACAGGCTAATGATAATTTCACCATGTTTTTATGATGAAGTGTATTGTACATTATGTCATGTTCCCAGTCCGGTTCCTGCATTAGAATAGATTGCTGATGGATGAGACGAGAGCAGGAGATAATGGTTTCTGTTTTCATGATCCATCAGCCATAAGTTCGGCTCCACAGATCCGTCCGTCCTCGGAGTGTCCATTCCCATCATGTCAGTGGTGAGTGAACGTTCCTGGCATCACAATCCAGCAGCAGCAGTATGAATATGATAAACAGCCACAATGAATCTGCGTCTCATTTGTTCCTCCGGATCTCACTTACTGTGTTGTTAAAAAAATTACTCGGTAGAATTTTCACTCAGGCATTTTTGTTTGACGATCAACACATGAATTGGATAAAGAATCCTGCAGACTTTTTTCATTTGGCCTCTTAAGCAATATTGAAAATACATTAAAAAAGACCAATAAAGTTATACTCCTTTTTTAAACAAGAAGATAAACATTTTATAGCATAGAATACAATAACAACTTTCCTTTAATAAATCAGGTAAAGCTACAACTACGCCTCTTGAGTTCTGAATAGAACAGATTTACAGACAAAGATGGGGTTTTTTTTAAATCTTAAAACGCAAAGTGTGTATATTTTGTACAATTGCTCTTTCATCAATTGTTTTTTGTTTTGTTTTTGGAGTCTGTATGGTCCAGTGAACAATTAATCAATTACTAAATTTGTTAACAATTAGTTAAAGATTAATCACAATTAATCGTTTCAGCCCTACTTTAAACATCAGACTCTTTCTAAGTTTGGTCAAAACAGTCGTGGCGCGTCTTGGCGTTTTTCGTTCCTGCTCCATCAACTCGCTCTGCCCTCCTGTGGCAGATGGCGGACCAGCAGGCGGCCATGTTTGGAGAGTGCTGCTTTGATGTGGGCGACGTGAAAATCACGATGGGAACCGGCACCTTCATGGACATCAACACTGGGAGCAAACCACACACATCTGTGGCAGGTATAGGAGCAGCACAAGTTTTTGTTTTTGTTTTGTTTTGTGTTTTTTCATCCAGATTTTAATCCTGCTGGATTATTCCAACCCATCTGCTGCAGGTCTGTATCCGCTGGTGGGGTGGAAGATCGGCTCAGACGTCGTTTACCTGGCAGAGGGCAACGCAGCAGACACAGGCACTGCCATCAGATGGGCCCAAGAACTGGGTGAGGACTGAACTGTAAAAATGTTTGATTTTTTTTTAAAAAATCCAATAATTATTCCTCTTCACGTCTAAAATGACATTGCAGAGCTCTTCTCAGACGTCGGAGAGACCAGCGACATGGCTTACAGTGTCAGCGACTCTGATGGAGTGTGCTTCGTCCCTTCCTTCAGTGGGCTGCAGGTAAATGCACTCATATATTTGTTCCTAACATGTGACATATTATATTTTTATGCACATGCATATTGTCTCTAATAAAAGCACATGCTTTGTGGTTTTCATCTGGTTTCTAAGACAGTGTATTTGGGCCTCAGTAGATAGAAAAAAAAAGAGTAGTAAATCAATCAGGAATTTTTGCTCAAGAAAAAAACTCACAAATTCACAAATTTTCTGGAATATTTGTGAAATTTTTTTCTGGCAAGTTTTCAAACTCAGAAATTTCCAAGTTGTTTTTCTAGACAATTTTTTTATCTTAAAAATTCTGAGACTTCTAGCAAATTTGCGACTTTTCAAACTCAGATATTTCCTTGTTTTTTTTCCTTGAGATGTTTAGCAGAAATCTACTCCTCCTTTTCTTTTTTTCTGTCTACAATGGCCCTAATATGCCGCCACGGGTTTCGCATTGTCTCTCTGTAACATGCTTTTCTTTTTCCCCCTCTGCCCTCCGTTTTGAACTGGCAGTAAGTGTTTTCTGCTGGATGTTGATATTTTAGTTCTGATTAGAAAATGTCTCCCCTCCCCTTGTTGGCCAGCCGAATGTTGCCTCGTGAAATGGCCGGCGTTCCTGCATGTTTTCAGTTGATGTTCCTCCTTCAGCTCAAATCAAACGGCTGAATGACCATATCAACATTTCCAGTAAAACACCAACCAAGTGGTTTTAAGTGTTGTCCTGGAAATCTCTTCATTTTGTTCTTTATGTTTGAACTGCTGTATTTTCAGAGTGCAGTGATTACACAACAGTCAACTTCAGTGATTATAGAAGACATGATCTGAGTGCTTTTCAGAAGTCTAGCTTCTGCCATATACCTGAAAAACTTTAGGAGTTTGTGCTGCTGGCAGGGTTGCAACGTTGCCACCATCAGGCGTGGCAGATGATTCAAATTTGATTTGATCAAATCAAATCAAGTCAGATTTCATTCAAATCAGACTTGATTTGATTTGATTTCAAGCACTAATACAAATAGTCAAATCCAAGACAAGAAAACGAAGCAAAGTGTCCAAAAAGGAGTTGGTAGACATAGAAAACTTTTTCTCTTCACCCCCTTTATTTTTTGACAAGATATAGCAATAGTTTATAACGTATTATTTAAACATTTGATACGGTTTGCATCAGTTGCTACCAAAACACTTTATATCTCAGCTCCACACTTCTATCCCACCTGGATTTCTATATAATGTGCACCATCTTTAACCTGTGTGTGTCCTATTAAAGGCTCCTCTGAATGACCCCAAAGCGTGCGCTTCCCTGATGGGCCTCAAACCTTCCACGTCTAAAAGCCATTTGGTCCGAGCCATTCTGGAGTCGGTCGCCTTCAGGTGATTGGCTTTAGGCAGGCTTCAAACAAATCAGCATGAACTTGTTTGAACTCATCTCCTTTATGCTTACTGGTTTAACTTTCACCTCAGAAACAAGCAGCTGTATGAGACGATGCTCAGAGAGACCTGCATCCCCATCACAAAGATCAGGTGAGGTTAATGCTCCAGTCTTCCATGTGGAACCTGGATTGTTTCCAGCAGGCTGGGTGTGTCAGCCTGAACTTCACTGGACCAACTAATGCAGGCGTATCGATAATACATTATCTGGCTCGATGCTCCTCTGACATAGTTACAGTGAAATGATTTGAGCGATAGCTGAGCACTCTGCTCCTCTCCGTTTCAGAGTGAACGGAGGCGTTTCCTCCAACGACTTCATCCTGCAGCTGACTGCAGACCTGTGTGGCAGAAAGGTGATCCGACCCCAACACCGGGAGATGTCGTCTCTGGGGGCCGCTTTTGTTGCCGGACTCGGCGTGGGTAGGCCAACACACTCAAAACATAATGCCAGATTGCAAAAGTATTCATACCTCTAGTTAATTCTTATTTGGAGGGATTTGATGTGAGAGACCAAGACAAAATAGTGTATGGTGAAGTGGGAAAAAAAAAGATGCATAATTTTTATTTTTTATTTTTTACATTTCTGGTGGCTTTCATTTCCATTCAGCCCTCAGAGTCAGTACTATTGCCGTGTTTCCATTGAACGGTACATCAGGAGAAGGTGTGCTGTGGTATTCTAGGGTCCGGCATATTCAGGAGAGCCAGTTAGACTCTTCCTGGAGAGGCAAGGTTAAACCCAAACACCCAACTTGATGTCATACTAGTGACTAACGTGACACAAGCAGTGGCATTTTTCTGTCCCCAAATCAACAGACTGTGTTGTGTGACAAGTATGGTACGTCCTTCAGTTGCCATACCAACTGAGATGAGAGTCTTCCCACATCTGGATACTGGAATTTGTGACCATTGGTCTTTGTGGATGGAGATCGGATGTGAACAGGAAACCTTTTCAAAGATTCTCTAATGGATTTAGGTCTGGACTTTGACTGAGCCTTTTAAACACCTGGATGTTCTTTGATCTAAACCATTCCATTGTAACTCTGTTTGTACAATCAGGATGGTTGAACTTCCACACCCTCCTGCAGCAGTTTTTTCCTCCAGGATTGCCTTGGATTTATTGATCAATATATCAACTCCAGCCATCTTTCCTGTCCCTGCTGAAGACCAGCATCCCCACAGCATCATGCTTCTACTATTATGTACCAATGTGGAGATGGTGTTTTCATGGTGATGCTTACAGTGATATGCTTATTGCCCCCAAAAGTTTCATTTTGGTCTCGTTTGGACAGAATTTCTTCATCTGCTTGTTTGACCAGGGTAGTGGAGTGGTCAAGTTGTCCAGTCAACAGATTCTCCCACTTGGCATCGAATTGTGAAGATGGTCGTCCATCTTGGGATGTTTGCTCTCGCCAGATGATGGATTGAGCGGAGCTCTGTGACATCAAAGCGTGGCATATCATTCTAGATCTTAAATCTGCTTTAAATCTCTCCAACTTCCTCCGTGACCTGTGTTCCTCCAGTCTTCATGAAGCTGTTTGTTTGCTAATGTTCTCTAATAAACTTCTGAGGCCTTCACTGAAAAGTTGCATTCATAATATGGACTCTATTTGCTAGTTGGGTGGATTTTAAGGTATTAGATTTTATTTAGGAAGTCACATATTCCTGTTTTTTCTGTCTGTATTGGTTTTTTTATGTTTCTTCTTTAAATAAACAATTCCAGGAGTCTGAGATTTGGAAGGAATGCTTTTCTACCTAAATGGAGCACATAAAAAGACACTTTATGAATCCTTTTTTTTCAGCGTTCATACTCTAAATATATTGCAACTCATGACAAGTGTTCATTTGAAAGCTCCTGATCAAAAGTCCTATTTTTATTTTGTTGACTAGGGCCACAAAAGCAGAAATGAGTCTTGCTATTTTTTTATTCACTGCATTATGTAATGAGATTATTGGAGATCAAGTGGATGCCTAGTTGTAAGACATGTTAACTGCATCTCTGTAGGTTTCTGGATGACCCGTGAAGAGCTGAAGAAGCTGCAGACCGCCGATGAGGTGTTCCTGCCTAAAGGTGCTGCCGGTCCCGGTCAGGAATACAACCCCGTCCTCCAGAGCTGGGAGAGAGCCCTGAGGCGCTCCATGAACTGGTACAAGCCCTGACTCTGGGCCGCACCAACAGGAAGGGTCTGTGCCTTCATAAGAATATAAGTGTTTATCTTTGTGAATCATGGTCCGTGTAATTTAAGGACACGGTACTTAAAGCTGCACCAGGTGGAGACCTGACGGAAGGGGTACAATGGACCAAAAGTTACTTGAAAATGAAAATCTTCTGAGCTTTCCAGGAAAGTCAGAACTGATCTAAGGCCCTGTTCAGACCAGACACTAGCAACCAAACCCGGGGATCAGATCATGATGCTAAGCATGAACAACCTCAGCTGCTTGCTTAACTCTCCTAGTACAGACCAGAAACTGCTGACATTTCATTTAGAGGTTTGACTTGCTAAAAGCAACCTTAGCAAATTCACTGACAATGTCTTCCCTTAACATATAATCACCCAGTAATATTTTCACTTTTCCTGTCTGCTTAACATCTTTTAATACACAAACTTGATAAGCCCGACCACTGGGCTTAGCAGGTTTTCTGGGGGAAACCTGCAGTGCCTTACCTTAACTTCAATTTTTCCAAATTCAGGAAGAAAGAAGAAGCAAAATGCTAAAGAAAACATCTCTGTTTTTAAATATTTCTCACAACTTTTTGTGCTTCCTATGAATCTGTGTTGGAAAGGAAAGTAGCAAACTTTGAGTCTTCTTTTCTCAGTAGACCCAAAAGCACTGTGAATGGTAGCAGACCAGATTTTTACATTTCTGACCATCAAACTAAAAATAATCAGATTCTGGTCACCAGCTGACTTCTCAGCATATCTTCAATTTATTTGCATTGTAGTCTGAACACAAACACTCAGTTGAAGGTCCACTCATGACTCAGGATAGCAGCTCTACATCGGATTCTTCTGGTTTTAAGAAAACTAATAAAAACGAAATGAATGACTAATCTATGTATCCAGCTGGAGGTAGATTTTTAGGCAAAAATTTGCTACTGTAAGACAAATGCAGTACAAGCAGCAGGTTGGTCAGATCTATTTTTTGTTAATCATAATCAGTCATATTTCAATAAGAGTCAAATGGTCAAAATTAAGTATAAATTAAGATGAAATAAGCCTTCAGGAGATAATATTCAAATATTTTCATTCAAATCAAGTCAAAGATAACTGCATTTATATAGAACATGTAAACCACAGTTGGCTAAAGTGCCTTATAGACAAAATGATTGGCAATGAAACAACTAAAATGTAATTGTCGTGACAACACATTGATGTTTTAAGCAGAAAGTTTTATCAGCTGTTTCTCCAGATTCAAGCACTTTTCTGACAGTTTATTTTATAATTCATATAAATATTTAGATCTGAGGAAAAAATGCTATGCAATCATTTAATTGCATTGGAGCAAAACAGTGGTTAGAGTTGACAAAAGCTTCAGTCCTGCCAGAGTCTTGATTATCAAGGAATGCACCAATACATGTGTGTATGTATGGGTTGTTGTTTTTGTGAGGTGAGTGTAAAAAAAAACAACACATAAACCTCCAATGTGTTCATGATTATTTTATAGTTCAGGTTTTTAGGGATTTCATGAGGAGACCAGCTGATGTTCTGCTTGTTGCCATGAATTCCCTGCAGATTTCTTGTGTTCTGAATTTTCTTTGCCACACTTTCATGATTTTGATTATCAATGATAATCTGAGTAAATAAGAAACCCAGCCTTAAAATGAGAAGTTCATATATTCTCCTTTTTTTATGATTATCAGATTGATGTCATCTGATATTAAAATGGTTGGATTTGGCACCTTAAATGTGACCAAAAAAAGCAAAAACAGAAGAAATCTGTAAGGGATTAAGTACTTTTTTTTTTTTTTTTTTTTTTTTTTTTTTTGATAGCAAGCCGGAACTTGAGATCGGATCATTTAGGAAGTGTTTCTAGGTAAATGTTACTGCCAAGTCTGAACCAGCTCCATAAAGAACAAACAGCATGAAGAAGTTCCTGCTCCATTATTTCTTCTCAACAGTGCCATTTATTCAGAAGATAACTTTATTCATTCTAGTCTAAATTGGATTTCACTTCTCAGTCCTTTTGTCTCGTTAATGAAATAATATTACCCGATGCTATGACGCCAACGACTGGCTTATCAGCTTTTAATTCATGAGCGCTCCATAGCAACAACTGAGTGCCAAATGTTTAATCCTGGGACTCGAGCCAGAATCCATTCAGATTCAAGCACAAATTTCAGTTCATTTTGGATTAAAAGAAAACTGACCTGACTTCTTAATGTTTCAGAACCAATATTTTTTTTTTATTTTTTATTTTTTTTTATGAAGCTGCTTCTTGGTGATTTCACATAAAATGTTTGCATCGTCATTTTGAAAAGATGAGGACCTGATTTTAAAAAATACTTGTTTCCTTTGGGAAATTTGGAGCAACTTCATTTTAAACCCTTTGTGAATGTTTGTATATAATGTTATAATTATAACGGTGTTAAATCATGACTCACTGCTAAAATGTGATTGTTCCTGTGAGCCTATGAAAGCCACTTTTCTCAGTATTTAAGAACGTTTGTACTACATAATGTTTTATAAAGACGGAAACGGGGATATAGGAATTGGTAGAACTGGCAGAAAAAAGAAGCATTCCAATATATTTCTGCTTATCATTGTAGATTTTTTTATTTTGATGTCATGATCAGTGTGAACTTTGATGCCTTTCTTTTAACATGATTGTTCTGTAACTGAGAACTCTAAATCTCTTTCTTCACCTCTGACCTGCTGCTGTTTGGATTAAACATAATTTTTTGAAATATGTCTTGCAAGAAGTATTTATGTCTCAAACTTTTTTGTGTTACAACCTCAAACTTCAGTAAAATTTTAGTAGCCTTTTATGCAATTGACCAACACAATCCAATGAAGATGAAACAAAGATGAAAGACTGATGCATTGCTTTTAACACATTTCACAAATAAATCTAAAAAGAATGGTGTTGGGAATCAAAACTTACATCAATATTTTGCTTATGTAATTATTAACTATGATTAATAACTTATTAATGGAATTATTAATACATTTAAAGTTTCTGTAGTTGAGTTGGGGCTCCATTCAGAGTCTGGAACCATAACTCAAACTTTGTCAGTCTCTTGTGCAGGAATGAATTCAAAACTACTGGACAGAAGAAACGTCACACAAGCAACAAATTCTGACACATCTATTTTTGATGAAGTCTGGGAATTTATTAATAAACAATTTTCCAGCTAAATTGATCTCATAACTTGTTTCTCTTGTCTGTTAACATTAATGTAAATTGATCAAGACAATGATAGAAGAAATTTTGCCCACGCACAGGCATTTGTTAGCCCAGATGTGTGGGAAGCAACCCATTCTTTTGTGTAATCTCTCCAAAGAGGACTTTATTAAAGGGCTAATAATAAATGATGGATTCTGGTGACGTGTCCCGCTGCCTCCAGCTGCACAGGTGTCACTGACAACACGAGTGAGCAGATGCTCAAAATGTTCACCTCCAGGGAATCATCAGAAACACAGACTGTCAGATGTGTCTGGAGTCTCTCTGACGTGACGCACACACACAAAAAAACTTGCTACGAGTGTTGCTATGGCAGCTTGAGGATGGAGTGGCTGAGAACAAGCGGAGTGTGTGTTCCTGCTGGTATGGTGGAGCAAAGTGGGGGGGGGTTGCTAATTGAGTGGACAAATGGGGGGCAGTGGGGGCATCCTGACAATGGGAGGATTGTGTGTCCATTCTGTCAGAAGGAGAGCATAGTCGAGTGTTGTTTGCATCACGTAGCTCTGTCCATTCTGGGAGCTTTACTGCAGAACGCTTCGTCACTAAAACATGAGGACATTAGCAGTCCTTCTAAAGCTTCTCATCAGTAGTGGGACGTCTTTGCTAGAAACACGAGATTGTGTGTGTGTGTGTGCCAGTGCTACATCGCATGATTTCAGTTAGACTTCGCCTTGCAACAAATTCAGAGTGACAGCAGGAAGTGAGTGCTGTGTGACCGCTACTCCAGTCCCCTTCCCCCATGCAGGCGGAACCCTTGTCATTATATAACTGTCTCTTCTACATTCTTCTTCTCTGGCTCTCTGTGACACACTGGGATTGTGCAGTTGGGCAGGAGAGGGAGTTGGGTGTTGGTTCTGTCCCAGCCCAGTTTATTTCACTCGTCTCTAGTCTCTAGGGGAATTTTGCCCCTACTCCTTTTAACTTTATTACATCAGTTTACAATTAGGCTCTCTGAATAAAGTAACATTCCTTCTTTTTTCTCCGATGCTCCCTCAAAAGGAATACCAAGTAGCCTTTGATTTTTGTCTGTCACAAATCAAATCCTCCAGGGCTCCAAATATGCCGAGCAGGATTGTTGTTCTGGCAAAAACAACATCTGAGTACTGTTACAGCCGCAGAGCTCATTGCCGTGAGATTGAAACTTCCCCTTTGCTCTTCAGGCACATTCTGTCCGCAGCTGAAAAATCAGGGTTTCAATTCAGGTAACGCCCCCCGTTCTGAAGCAACAGAACACTGAGATCCACACCTTTGATCCCAATACAAACCAATCAAATTTCAGTCAAATTTTATTTTTATAGCACCTTTCAGCAGCAAGACATTTCAGAGTGCTTTACATCATAACAAACACAAAAACACAAAAAATCAATAATCAAAACATTACATTAAGTCAAGTGCCATCGTTTCAAATGCAACTCTAAACAGGTGGGTCTTTAGTCGAGATTTAAAGTAAGTGTTTCGGCTGTTTCACAGTTTTCTGGATGTTTGTTTCTAATTTTCATTTATTTTCATCTTGTTAGGTTTAGTTGATAGGGACAGATACACATTAACATAGACAAACTGAATAAAGCGGCAGGCCCACGCTCATGTCATGGTGCTTATAACTTAAGCTAATTTGTAGCACTTGTTCCTAGATGGGCTTTTTTAAACAGTGTATCTGAAAACTACGAGGCAATTTGTAGCACAAAAGCTGGAAGCTTCTTCTCCATGTTTAAATATCCATCCATTTTCTGTACAACCTTGTCCCTAGAGGGGTCAGGATGGGTGCTGGTGCCTACTTCTAGCAAACATTTCAGGCGAGTGGCAGGGTACCCCCTGGACAGGTCGCCATTCTGTCACAGAGCACCATGTTCAAACAAACAGAAGTATTTTAAAGTCTATTTTCTGAGTCAGTGGAAGGACTTTAAAACTGGGGTGATGCGCTCTGACTTCCTGGTTTTAGTCAGAACACCAGCAGTAGCGATCTGGATCAGCTGCAGCTCTCCATCCTCCATGGTGAATGATTTTTAAAAAAATCATCCACCATCATTTTACTGCTGCAGTAATCAATGCAACTAAAGAGAAATGTTGAGTTTCTCCAGCTCTTGCTGAAACAGTCCTCTAATCTTGGAGATGTTCTTCAGGTGATAGAAGGCCGACTTTGGAACTGTCTTTATGTGACTCTGAAGGTTCAGGTCAGAGTCCATCACTACATCCCGATTTTAGGTCTGATCGCTGGTTTTTAGTTGTAGTAACTGAAAACTACAACTAGAAGCTGTGCGATTTTGATCAGTTCTAAGACAGTGGGTTTCTAAGATAATAACTTCAGTTTTGTTTCTGTTCAGTTGGAAGAAGTTTTGGCACATCCACACATTTGTTCTATCCATCTGTTCAGTGACTGGACGGGTTCAGAGCCAAAATGGAAATCTAGAGCTGTGTATCATCTGCATATATGGTAGATAATCTTATTTCCTGTTAAGCACTTTGACCTGTCTTGTTGCTGAAAATGAACTATGTAAGTAAAATGACCTTACCTTATAACCTGACCTTACCTTGTAACCTGAGGTGGCAGGAGCATGTGTAAATATTAGATAAGATTAAACACCTTACAATTTTATACTAAATATAAATATGATGATACTACAGGGAGTAGAAACTGCAAGGATCCACTGCTCATTGAACTAAAATATACTGTAAAATCTACTTGAAATATGGGGATCCATGAAAAATATCCTTATATAAAACAAAAGCTTTGCTGCTTTTTGTCTTATTCACTACAACTCCTCAGATGAATGAAGACAAACTCAGCAAAATGTACTTCGGGAAACAAATCCTCAGATCTTGTTGTTTTTGGTTAAAACTTCACAATCACTTGCAGTATGATGTGTTAAACATGCAGTCACATTTCTTGTAAAGAAATTCTAACTCTAAAAATAGCCTGGAGTTGCCCCTGGGCAGAACCCACATGCTCAGAGATCTGCTTAACCCACAAATCTCCATGATAAGTGTTGCAGCATCTCAGGCTGTTCTCGCCTGCTCTCACACGGCAGCTGCTTTCAAAGACGCACTTTAATGCAAAATTGACTTTTTGAGCTCATGTTATGATGTTATTTTCTCATCAAACACATACCTGGTGTGTTCTGATTTTTTTTTCATGCCTCCTTGAGAAATTCTTGAATCTCCCATGGCAACCATTATGAGTGAAACCCTAGCTTTCACCAAGTGATGTATTTTCCATGCAGCTCCTCGTTCAGGGGTACCTTCCACTCCACAAACCGCCCCTCCTCCCACAACTCCCCCACTCAGCTCCTTTAGACTAGCCAGAAGCAAGTAGCAAATACCTGCAGGAACTGAGCATTACAGGAGCAATGCTGGTGTAAAAAACATCATTAAAGGGTTAATTGGAAAGAGTAGAAGCTTCTTTTATTTACCCCTTCTAACTTTATATGGTTTTAACAAATTGTATATTCAGAAGATTATCATATTGTACAAATAAAACAAACAGTACAACTTCCTTGTTAACAAAATGGTATAAACTCAAAAAACAGACAAACACATCAGGACAACATAAAGAGAGAGAAAAAAACACTTTTTCACAAAAAAAGCACAGAATTAGTTATGTTTTTATACATCTGAGTGTAAAAATAAAGCAAAATAAACAGCAGAAGAAACAGAAAAAATAGATCAAAAATACCTTTATTGAAACTTATCAAAAGGGGGAAAGAAACATGAATAAATCAATAATGACAGTAATAGAAACTACTCTGGTAAAGCTAGTTGTAAAATGTGTAAATTGCTGCAGAAACATCCTAATCTTCTTAAATTTAGGAAAATATCTCAGCCAGTAAAAAAAGATCCCAAACAAGGCCAGACTATGAGCTTCTTAAAGAGACAGAGGCCCAATTTCAGGACGGTAATTTGCTTACATTTCTTTGAAGTTATGCTCAATATAACTGAAGGTAGTATTCTTGACTGTGTTATAAAATGCCTCTATGTTGTTGGAAATGACATACTGGCCCTTTAAATGGACTTTGGGTTCAAATCTGTGTCCTGATTTCTCAGGCTGTGGCCTGGTTTAGTGACTCACCACTTCCGACTCTGATGCAGGATCAATGAATCTACAATGAAACCACGATGTCAAACACGAAATAAATAAATAAAATAAAATGCAAATCCTCTCGAATGTCTTTGAGAGCTTCAAGTTGTGATTTGATTTATATGGATAATCCGCTGAAGGAGTGAAGAGGCCATTGCTAAAAAAAAACCAACTAAAAAAACAGAAGATCTCGGTCTAATAGCTGGTGGTGATAATAATGGTGAGGGCTCTACTTAGAATTTGTGCGCGTCGCGGTGCGTCTCTGGAATGAACCAATGCGCATCTCCCAGTTCGCACTGCATCAGCTGCCAGCGCAGACTCAGAGCTGACGTCACAGCTCTGTCTCTCTCTCTCTCTGTCTCTCTCTCTCTCTTTCATCACCTTCACGTCCCTTTATTCCTCCCCTCCTCTTATTCCACCGGAGCATCTCTCTCCTTCTGCTCTCCTTTCCTTCTCCACCGCCCATTTCTTCCCAGCCATTAATCCTGACCACTCACCGCACCGCCGCCTCATCATCGCATCGTCCCGCTGCGCTTTTCCGCATTTTTCTTTTTTTTTTTTTTTTCTTTAACATTTTTTTTCTTAAGGGCGCGAAAACCGGAACATTTGTATTTTTATACATTTACTTATTTTTAAATTTTATTTCCTGGACTACACAAAGTTTCCCCCCGCAGCCCTCGGCCCCCCTCCCTCCTCATCACCATGGCGAGCGCCGAGGATAAAGCGGCCAGCAAGGAGAGCGCGTCCAGCTGGAAGGACTCCATCTACAACCCGAGGACCGGGGAGCTGCTGGGGCGCACGGCCAGCAGCTGGGGTGAGGATGCGCCCTCCTCCTGCCAGACATTCAACCTGTGCAGCCTGATTTCTTTATTATTGTTATTATTATTATTCATTATTATGATTGATTTGTGCGCGTGGATGGCTGAATGAAGGTGACTGTGAGGCTGAGTTGTGGAGGCATCCCAGGCCCGCATGGAGGTGAAGGATGGTCTAAAGGTGTGCCCAGGTCTCCTCTTGCTGCGTGAGACTATTTAGGTTTTCAAGCAGATATAATTTATGATATGTATCTGCAGAGACCCCCACTGCCCCCCATGGCCCCTCCCCCTGCTGACTGAGCTGCTTCCTTCTCAAATAATCAGGGTCCTGCTGAATTCCTCAGCTGCATCCAAAGCTGATCAGGATGTAGAATTTTTTAAATTTTTATGTAATGCTTGCTTCTCCCCAGGCTGAGGTGGTAACACTCAACCAACACACACACACACAAAACACACACACACACGCTGTTCCCCTCTCAGAAGCCGGCTCCTATAGGCTGGTGCCGGCTTCAGTCAGGCTGCCTGGGCCCCCATGCTGCTGTGCAGTGGGATGCTCCATTGCAGTTGCATGGCCGCCCACATTAGCATGCCTGTCAAGGTCAAATGGGATTCCCTCTCTCTTCTTTCTCTGTCTTTCTCGCACTGGACAGGTGCATTGTGGGATACTGCTGGAGAGCAATGAGGGGAAAAAAGATAGGAGGGGTGGGTCGCTGTGGGAAGGGGGTGGCTGCCCCCCCCCCAGTCCCCCACTCTCTCTTTTGGTCTGCTTAAAGGGCATCTCTGAGGTGCTGGTGAACCATTTTGATTCTGATGTTTTCTCGCTTTACAGCAGCAGAAAACTGCTGAAAAGTTGGGGAGGGTGTGAAGGGAGACTGAGGAGAAAAATACCTGTGATTGTCAGAGGTAGTGGATTTAAAATGGTGTCAAGTGGGTAATTCTGTAGACCAGCAGCAAACCAAGGCAGGTCCCACATCATGCTGGACCCTCTGCCTCCATGGAAACAAACTTTAATGTTCTGCAGAGAGACAGAAGATTCAGCAGCATCAAGGTTCACACAACAGAAGTAAAAACAATATATTAAAAACCAAGACTGCAACAATAGTAGTAGTAATAATGATAATAATAACATACAGTATTATTACTGTATCTCATTATTTTCTGTAATAACTGCACTGAATACTGTACATAATAATGTACATGATGTAAATTTTTGGAAAAGAAGCCGACTATTTACATCAGTTCAGAAAAAAACTAGATGTTCAAATCCTTTCATCTCCCGTGGCAAAATGCCTGGTTGGACCAAGCTCCGCCTTCGAGGACGAAACTCCTCCTCAGAGCTGGAGTTCCCAGGTCTGCCCTCCTCGGCTCAGCTCCTTCAGACTAGCCACCAGGAATTAGCAAACACCTGGTGGAACTCAGCATCTGCTGAGCTCTTTATAGGAGCAGCTTCTCAGTGAAACGCTGGTTAAAAACATTGTTTAAGTTTTAATGGAGGAGCCGTAGTGTGATGACTTTCTGAAGGTGGAGTTTCACAGACAGAGGTCCAATTTCATATAGCATTTAATTACAAATTCAGATTTATTTTAAGTCATAGGCCTACTTGATAAATATGTCACGTCTATAACACTGAAGGTGACATCCATCGATCTACGTTCTTCCATTTATCCGGGGTCGTGTCATGGCGGTAGCAGCCAAGCAGGGAGGCCCAGACTTCCCTGAAGGTGACATAGTTACTAAATTATTTTATAAAATGATACTCTGGCTGGAGAACACATAATACTGGCCCTTTAAAAACGTTGTGTGTGTCTCCCTGTCCTGCAGCCCTCATCCTGCTCTTCTACCTGGTCTTCTACTGCTTCCTGGCCGGCATGTTTGTCCTCACCATGTGGGTGATGCTGCTCACGCTGGACGACTACGTGCCGAGGTACAGGGACCGCATCCCCAGCCCAGGTCAGTGTCCTCCAGCTCCACCTAAAGGTCTGGCACCACCATCTGCTACGAGCGGCCATGTTTTCTCTTTGAGGCCTGCATTATTCATGCTCTCTAGATGCTGTCACTGTAAAGTGCTACTTTATATTGCTGCTTTTCGCATTGATCTGTTTGGAAGTCTCTTCCTGAGTGATGCCTAGAATAGGAACGGCTCAGTGGACGATGCTTCCTCTAATAGCTGTGTTTTGGTTTCACTCTCACTTTCTGATTGTTCCACTTGACGTCTCCATTCTGCAGGACTGGCGATCCGGCCAAACTCTTTGGACATCTCCTTCAACAGATCTGACCCGCAGAAGTATTCGCAGTACGTCCGAAACCTGGAGTCTTTCCTTCAGAGTGAGTGCGCTCAAAAAAAAAAAAAAAAAGAGCTCTGCAGGTGAACAATAGCTGTCCTTTGTTTTTGTGGACTTGGATCTGAGCAGACCTTTGTCCACATCATGTCTCTGTCAGGATACAATGACACGGAGCAGGAGGGAAACACAAACTGTTCTCCAGGAGAGTACACCCTGCGGGAGGAAGGGGAAGGAATGTTGCAGAAAGCGTGCCGCTTCAGGAGGGCGCTCCTGAGTTTCTGCTCCGGCCTGTCTGACACTAACTTCGGATACCATGAAGGAAAACCCTGTGTGCTGCTCAAAATGAACCGGGTACCAAATGGCTTTCATGGCACAGTCTGCCTTTTTTTCACATCTTGTTAGAATACAATTGTAAATCTTTCATGTGTTTCATTGGGAGTTTCTGTGATGCTCTGTGATGACGCTGATCAAATAACCGTCTTGTGTTTTCCAACTGTTTCAGGGTGTTTTTGATGTGCTGAACCCAAAAATCACATTCATGTTGCTCCATCAGATCATCTTTCTGAACTGTGGAGCATCATGAGCATCAAAATGGATGATTGTTCTGATATATGGAGGATCTGGGATCAGTGAGTTTTGAGCAGATATCATCAGGACAGAACAGAGATGAAGAATTTTACACAATGAAGACGTGAAGTTCAGTTCACATGTACTTACCCTTATCAGTGTTTATTATTCAATTTACAGAAATCCAAGTTTATAACATTCAGTTAAATGTTACAAAGCATTTTTGGATGAGAAATATTTATGGAAATGAACTGATAATGTCACAAAATGTCATCAATTTAGTCAAAAGATGAAATTTCTCTAAATCAAATCAGCATAAAAACCTGACGGAGAAAAATGGATGTCAGTTTTGGATTCAGCGTTGCAAATAAACCTAATTCCGTTGAAAACCATGGACAACTAACAAAACATATTTTTTAATCCAGTGTAAAGACTTAGAATTGATTAAAATTATTTATAAATTTATTTTTTTTTAGCATTCACAGCTTTCCTTAAGAAATTTTCACAATAAATGATACACAATACGATAAATGACCACACGCATGATGGACTGCCGCAGATAACTAGTGTGGCAAAATATTGAACATTTTGGTCTCAATGATGGAAAAACTAAAACTGCACATCCTCCTGAACACAGCCTCCTATTGTGTAGCACGGCGGTGGCAGCCTCATGCCATGGGAATGTTTCTTCTTTAGCAAGAAAAGAGAAGCTGGCCAGAGTTGAAGGGAAATGCAGGGCAACACTGGAAAATAAAAATACAAATAGAAAACTGTGAGAGGCTGTGAGAAAGAAGAGAGCTGCATGGTTCAGATCGAAGCTTGTTTATGTCTTAGAATAGCCCAGTCAAAGTCTGAATCCGTGCGATGGCTTTAAATAGCTTTTTATTGATGCGCTCCATGCAAACTGATGGAGTTTGAGATATTGTGCGGGAAAAAAACTGGGACACAAATGTTATGTTATGGAAGTACAGAGACATGCCCTGATGGATTTTGCAGCTAATATTAAAATAAAAGGTATGGGATGCTGTAAAGTCAAAAATTAAGAGCAATAATTTGGATTATTTAGCCAGTCATATGAAAAAAAAAGTTATATTTTCAGCATTTAGCTCCAAACTCCATTTTGAGTTAGCAAGCATTATTTTAACAAGCTAAATATGACACCATAAACTCAACATTCACACAAATAGCTCCAAACTATTTATTTATATAGCAATCTAAGAATATAGTTTGAAGCTATATATTAATATACAAAGATTCACATTTTTGTTTGAAACTAGATAGTTACTTTGATGATAAATATTTAGCTTCAAATTAAATATTTAGCCTCAATATAAATCTGTAGCTCCTATATTTAGGTTATAAATGATATATTTATCTTGGTAATTAGATATTTAGTTCTAAACCATGATATTTATAGATGAATTAATAAGATGGTGAAAATATGACTGCCAAATTAAGCCTCATTGTGTTTTTGATGACGGGCTGAATAACCCAAATTATTGATGTTAACTTTTGAATGTGTGACTTTAGCAGTGCAGCCTCTGCAATGTGTCTGATCAACAGGTTTTTGGCTTTCATTCTCTTATTTATTTTTGTTTTCCTTCCACTTCTTGCTGTCCCTTTTGTCAGATTGTGCAGCTGCAATATGACAAAAAGTTACAACAGGTCTGAATAGGCTTGTGAGCTCGGGCTCCTAAATGATGTGATTTGCGTGCGGCGGCGCGGCGCCCTGACATGACCCTCCTCCCGTGTCTCTGCCTTCACAGATCATTGGCCTGAAGCCCGGCGGGGATCCCTACATCAACTGCACTGTCAAAGTAAAAACAAAAACTGGAGCATTTCATGTGCAACTTTCTTGTATGTGTATTTGTGTCTTTTACGTTCTTCCATTAAAAACAAGACATATTTATTACCACTGTGGATTTAGTATTTCCTTTGTTGATCTTTCATGTTTTCCTTCTTTTTTTGTGTTTTTTATTTCTGTGTGTGTCTCATGTCTTTTTGCATGCTGTCACTGACGTCTTTAGGGTAAGACGGATATGTGAATTATCAGGATAAGGCCAGTAGGAGTAAGAGCACATTTCTGTTATGTAACGGGTCATTACGTGGGCGCCTCCAAAACCCATCTTAGTGGCATTTTAGGGTTTATTTTTAGCCCAGCCAGTGTCGTTCCTTTACCCCGGAAATGTCACGTTTTTCAGACTAAACACAGAACAATCTCATTTAACTAATTCATTCAAATCTCTTTGCCTCAACCTCAGAGGGACGCTGCTTCTGCTTGCTCATGTCCTGCGTCATGTTGTATTAAAAACATTTCCCATTTGCTTTTAATTGAACTCTAAACTCGCTTGCATCCAATGAGAAATTTAAACTGACACGTATTCTTCCCTGCAGAAAGAGAACCCGATCCAAATGCACTATTTCCCCAAAGAGGGACGCTTTGACAAGATGTATTTCCCCTACTATGGCAAGAAAGCCCATGTAAGTATCTTGTCTTCAAAGGTCCATGTCTATGTATCTAAGAATATGTCTTAGATACATAGATCTAAGACATAGATCTATGTCTTAGCTCCAAACTCCATTTTGAGTTAGCAAGCATTATACTGACAAGCTAAATAGAGGCAATGAAATGCATTTTATGAAACATCAAATCTTGCCACACATCTGTCACTTTTGATGTTCACCTGCTCTCACGGTGTGTGTAGCAGGGAGGGTGTGAAATGTGTCGCTGTGCGTTACTTTTGCAGCGACGTCACCATCATGTTTCTGATGAAATCGCTTACAGGTTCTTTATTAGCGGGCGAATATTTACTCACTGAATTCATCAATACAGTCTGAGCCACTCTGATTTTTCTAAACGCTGATGTGATGAAGTATTCATCAGTGCAGACAGAGCGTCAGCACAGCTCTGCTTGTTAATTGGGTCGTTCCTGCAAACATTTTAGGCGCACAGAGGCATTGCACTTAAAACCAGGCATTTACACTTACGCTCTACTGTATTAAAATATTTTTTTCCCACTCTTTAAGTGGGAAAAGGATAACCAAAACAAATGTTTTATTTTATAACAGCCACAATGATGTTGGTTTATTATTATTTTTATGTTATAAGTTTGCATATATTTCCTTAGTCCTTGAAAGATTTCCCTTTGAAAGTGTGTGATTCAGTTCAAATGTTTCTGCTGTCCTCCCACTAAATCGTCACAATTCATGTCCCCAAAACATGAACTAGTGTAACTGAGGAAGGTTTGTAGGTCACTTTAGAACATTGACTTTGTTGTTTTCAAGGTGCTTTTGTAGCTAATTTACAGTAATTATCAACAAATTAGCTTTTGTAGCCAATATGGCAGAGTGTCCATTTGGAAAACCCACTTCCACACAACCTTTAACTGCCTGATTGACATCATGAGAAATATGATATTTCCACATAATTGAGAAATGTCTATTAAGATTTTAGTAAAATGCATCAATAATCCCTCTTGAAGCAACAAGGCACCAACGTCATGATGCTGCCATGCTTCCCAGATGGGATGATGTTCCCAGGCTTACAAGCCTCCCACATGTTCCTCCTGACGTTATGGCAACACAGCTCCACTGTAGTTCCTCCAGTCCACTGGACACGTCGCCAGAAATTCAGGTCTTTGTCCCTGAGTGGCTAATTGTAATCTGTCTGTTTCACTTTGTTGCTCTTTGAATAACGGCTTCACTGGTTGGCCTTTCTGTGAACGGCCTCTTCACATGGGCTTTGGTTTTGTTCTGCGTCTCTTTACGTTTAAAGACGTTCAACTCTGGGACACAGACACAGGGACGTCTTACTGAACGTTCTGATGTGGAGACGTCCCGGTGTTCAGATCTGTCGCTTGAGTATTTTTGGCCAGTCACATTTACCAAACACCCCCTTCTCATCGGAATGACCAAAGAACAGAGCAATAAAAGAGTTCAGAGACAAACATTTTCAGTTCAGATTGTACATATTGTGATGTTGGGTTGTTGTGGGAGCAATTGTGGGTTGAGTTTGAGAAACTGGTGTCAGAACTGGTGTCAGAACTGGTGTCAGAACTGGTGTCAGAACTGCTGAAAGAGCGTTTCCGCCCCGCTGCAGGAGAACTACGTGGAGCCGCTGGTGGCTGTGAAGCTTCTGTTCACCAAGGAGGACTATAACAAGGAGCTGGCTGTGGAGTGCAAGGTGAACGGCTCCAACCTTTTGAACAACGACGACAGGGACAAGTTCCTGGGCCGCATCACCTTCCGGATCAAGGTGGTGGAGTAAAAGTGATCCGGAGGCGGATCAGGGCAGCGCACCTTGTCGGCCCCTGAATTTACAAACAGATTTGGGATTACGAAAAAATGTTAAAAATTAAATTAAAAAAACGAAGGAAGTGTCAAATATGTCACAAAGATTATTATTTCATCTCTCTTTCTGTTCTGGGTCTGGTATAGATGTTTGACGCCTCCAGCAGAGGAAGCCGCTTGGTGTCAGATGTTGCTTTGATGACCTTCCTGACTCTTTTTTCCATCTGATTTCTTGCTGATGTTCTCAGAACAAGTTTCTGAACCAGATCCTTTCCATTCCCTGTTGCACACCGTTCATCCCTCTCTTAGCTCAGATCCCATCTTTTTTCTTTTCTTTTAGCGCTGATGTGATTTAATAACCTATAGCCATTGGAGCCAAGCTATTTGGAGCTGTCGTGTGTAATTGCTGATACTTCTTTCTTTTAATTTGTAACCCTCCTCCTGTCAGAATGAGTGTTTCCACCTCTGAATCTGTGAGCAGGACCTCGTCGATGCCGGTGTTGCGAGGACGTGGGATCTTGCTGTATGTAGAGCTGTAGGACATGTCCAGTGTATCTTTCATCTCAAAAGACTTCATCAAGTCTTGATACTCGAGTATAGCCAATGTATCCTTGTATATGAAATGCCAACTCCAAACGCCCTTTTAACTATAAATACATAGTGAACTTAAGCATATTTAGGGAACTATAGGTAGAAATTGGTCTTGCGGCTCACCAAGCTGCAGGCCAGTCTTGTGCCGTCCGTCTGTCTGTCTGTCTGTGTGTCTGCATGTGTGTTTGTCCGTCCTTCTGTCTGTCTGCCTGTCTTCATGTTTGTCCACCTCTTGCAGCCGATTGGGTGAGTGCCTCCAGGAGCGGGCGAGCTGCGTTGCCCAGGGCGGCGGGGTGTGTGTGGACGGTGAGGGTTTGCTGTTTTGAGGCGGAGAGAAATAACTTCACTGCAATATGTACTGTATGTCTCTACGTGATCTGTATATCTATCTGGGTCTCAAAGATTGTTTGTTTAGCTTACTCTCTTCTTCAGCCTGTTTATCTGATTGTCTACTGATCTATTACTCTTTAATGTACATATATATAAATATATTCACACACACACACACACACACACAATATCTACCATATTTACTGAAGTCACACTGTATTTTTGGTCACCAAACATAATGTCTGTGCACTGTAAAGAAATATAATTTAAGCAAAGATTTACAAAAGATTATCTTATTCAAAGCTATGTTTACACAGTCTTAAAAGGAGCCCCTATTTAAAGGAACAACCTGTAACATCTCTTCAGGGTGCCTTAAGACCTGATGAAATAAATTGTGATTTTGAAGAAAAAAAAAAAAAAAGCCTGATTTGTTGTTTCATTTCCATTTTTGCTTGTTTTTGCCTTTGTAAGGTCTCCAGCATGTTAGCACGCTAACTTATTCACTTTAACTGTTATGTGACTGTGGACAATAATAAGCCCAAACATTTCAATCTTAAAGGGATATTTTTGGCATTCATTGAAGCCGAGTCTCTTTTTGAGAAATGGTGTCAAGCATCAGATAAACTGACAAGACAAGGATGAAGAATCAAATGTTTTTGTAGTTTTTTTATGTTTAAGGAATATTGTTCATTTTTTCACTGACATAACAAAGCAACTTTTAATTTAAAAGACACAAGTTTTTTTTATATTATTATTTATTATGCACTCGCCTGATTTAAGCAACACATTGAGTAAGATATTGTCTGCTTATGACAGCATCTTACCTGTCAGGAGATCAGCGTAACCCCACTTACACAAAAACGAACGCTTTTCTTTTTGAGTCATATTTAGTTTTTCCAAGTATCCTTTTATTTTTAATAAGTATGAGTGTCAGAGAGCTTGGGTTCCTCAGAGAGAGATTGGAAGGTTTTCAAACATAATCATTGTTTCTAGTAAGTTATTTCTAATCTTCTGAAAATTCTCTTCCTTCCAGATCCCTGTATGTGATTCCATGAAGCAGGTGCAAAAGGTCATGACCTAAGATCAGCATAGAGTTATGCATAGACAGAATGAAAATGAAATTTTTGTCTTCAGATAAGTTATTATGAATTGGGTGATGGACGTCACTGGACTGCAGCTCGGGTTTTTTCATAGACATAAATATGAGTTTTTTCTGACGTCCTCTCATTTTTATTGTAGTACATGTTTGTGACCACATGAGGGCGCCAGAAACAACTCTGCTGGAACCGCCAGAGAGACCACGCAGTGACAGACAACATTGTACACACGTCACCACCTTACCGTTGATATCAACTTACCGAGTAACATTATTAATATATAACATGTAAACCTAAATTATTTAACAACATTCTTTGGCTGTAGCTCTTGGTTGGCTTTTGTTAATTTCACAATGATCCATCACTGCTTCAATAATGTGATGATATTTCTATAAACGTTTCTGGTAAATGGTCGGTGGGATTAAGATCATTATCATGATAAAAAATGGAACCATTTGTACAATTTTCAGAGCACAGGCTGAAGCTGCACTCTTCACATCATAATTCTATCAAAGCTGGACATGAATGAACCCTGACCTCTTCAGAAGACAACCAGAAACATGACATGCAAGATTGTTGTCATATGCAGCAATCACAATCTTAAATGTATTTTGTGTCAAGTAAAAGGTCACACAGGTTGTTCTCAACATGCTTTTGTAATAAAAATCTGAAGATTGTGTCTCATAGAACCCGAACCTGTTGCTGCAAGAACAGCTGCAACATCTGGTTGTTTATCTTGTGACTCTTTCAGTTTAAAAAATGATTTTCCATTGTAGTTTTAGAAAATACGTCCGTTTAAATGCAGCTGGAAATCCACCTCACCCGAGTGCACCAATGGTCAATCTAAAACACGATTATTTTTTTTCATGCGTTTCCATTAAGCTAATTTAGATAGACTGGTCATGTTGGTAATGAGCCCTACTAGAGGCTCTACTTGGTGCAGAGACCAGAAAACATCAGGAATGGATGCAGAATAAGTCTGATCTTCTGCAGAAGCTCAGTCCTTCACGCTCAGCTGCAGCAACAGCAGCAGGAACAGCAGCAGCAGCAGCTCCTGCTAAATGTGAGATAATCTCCTGGGCTTTAGCTGCAGCAAGAATCCAACTTAATGTCTCCTAATCTCTTACTGTCCTTGACTTGGATGACAGTAAACAGCTGAAGTTGGAGATAAAAGCTTTTCCCACTTGGTATCTCAAGTTTCATTGAGGCCAATAAAATGTATCAACAGTTTTTATTCATTTCTTCTCCCAACATGCAAAATAAAACAAATGCCATCAACTTAACACCTTTGGATGATGCAGTTCTTTTTGGATCGGTTATTATTATTATTGGTTATTACATCAAATTCAAAGAAATAAAATTATTTGGTGAACCTAAGTCAGCCTTCCACATGCACACACAAATATTCTGATATGTCCCTGAACAACTTGTAGAAAATCCACCGAATTTTCATAACTATCTCCTGACCCAGTTCTGACTGGATAATTATCCATTCAGGCAGAACTCGGTTGATTTGCTCGGTTTCTTTCCACAGATCTGGCTTTCAGACATAATCCATACATTTTCAACAAGGTGGCAGTCAGTGCTATTCTATAAGCTTAGAGTTATCCTGAATTAACCGGCATTAGAGCAGTTTGGATCTGTGCTTGGGAGCATTAAAAACTAATTTTTTTAACACTTTATTGATCTCAAAGAGAAATGAAATCTAAGTTGATGAATGAAATTGACTGGATGCAGAGCAGGACCAAAGAGCAAAGAGAGAAGGAAGTTCTAACCGGGCAGCAATATAAAGTGGAGCGGCTAAAGCTGATGAGGCAGCTTAGCGGTGCTAGCCGACTACTGATGATGCAATGCAATCCAATATTATTGTAGCACATCCTCTCTGCTGCCCTCTATTGAGCTGGACTGCAACAGTCTTCAGTCAGAAGCCTCCTCAGATTGGTTGCAAGTCTGACTGCTCCTTTCTTCCCATAGCGTCACCATCCAGGATTTTCTGAAGATATTTGAATGATATGAGTTAAGACAAAAACTAACTCAAACTGCATGACACAGTGAAGGAAGACAACTTCTGAGTTCTTTGACTTCAAATCAACAGCTGGATGTTTGAAATATTGATGCATCTGAATGCAGGTCAGCTGGAGCAAACATCAAAAACTGTTTTTTAGAATTGATGAAACAGGTTTAAGTTTTTGGACGGGCACTAACTTTTTATAATTCTAAAGAATTATAAAAAGTCTGGCATAAAATCTGTATCAGTGCCAGGAAACCGATAGCCAGTCTGTTACCTGCCTGTGGAAAAATGTAGGTTTCTTCCACTTACTTTGATTCCTCTGGTAGAATTTCAACCTGGCCAATCAGTGAACAGAAGGAGGAATTGTGATGATGACGTCAGTTGCCTGTAGTTCACTAATGGCAGTGGAGGGAGTGAACGAAGCCGTTCAGTCCGTGTTGGCCACACTTCCAAACATTGAATCAACATAAAAAGCCTCTTTATGTTGGACACTTCTCTCTTCACAGTGGAGGTCGGTTGTTAACAGCACAGCACACAACTAGTGCATTAAATACTCACAGACAAATGTTAGTTATGGACTAGCTGTCATTGGAAGCAATCATTTCTTGACAGGCTATTGCAAACTTGACAATTGTGGTCAAATATTCTTGTTAGACCAGAAAGCAGGTTGATTCTCTGCAACTTGTTGAGGGAGATTTAATCAAATACTAGTGTGAGTCTAAATTTCCACCTGTATATTATTTCAACCTCATTTGGAGAAAATCCATGGTAAATTCAAACTTGTGTAAATTCAAATATTTGCTTTTAGCATTTATTCACCACTTTGAAAAAAGAAAAAATGCTGTATGCAAATCTTCACCTTGCACATGTCAGAAGCATTGAGTCGCCCAGAACCTTGAGGCGATTTAGAACTGGTTTAAACTAAGATGGCAGAAGGGTTATCACCTAATCAGCTAAAACTTTAACTTGCCAATTTGTGGAAACCAAGACCTGGCTGTAGTCAGCATCTTTAGAGGGGATTAGCGCGATGGATATTTTTAGGATTCACTCCCGAGTCCTCAGCAGCACCGTCTCTATAAATACAGTGAAGAGCGTAACGCGCCACAGTCTGGGCTGTTCTGACGCTGGCAGCAGGTGACAAAAACACATGAAAACCAGAAGCACGGATTTCAAAAGACACATTTAATTTCTTCAAACTGATTCAAACGTAAAGACCTTTTTTTTTTCAGATTTACACAGCGCATTACTTCATTTTCTTTCATTTATATGTACAGGAACATGATTGCACATTTGAATTATATTCACATAAATGGTAAAAACTCAACTTTGCCCGATATCTGCCAGTTTAAAACAAATAAAGACCCTGAGATAATCAACAAGAACAACTGGCCTATTCAAAGTCTCTAGACTCAGCTCAACATAAACGATACAATAATTTATAACATCTGATCTGATTAGCTTGAGTTTTTTTTTTTTTTTACAATCATTAGGCTAATAAAAACAGCCCTGAATGATCACAGAGCTTCAGGGTCATGGACAGTGAACTCCTGGTACAGGAATTTATTGCCCAACTCCTCTAAATTGTCCTCCGTCATACGCAGCAAAGATCTGCCAGTTGTGCCCTCTTCTGTCCCCCAGCATACCTGGGCTTCACTCCCCGTCCTTATGTCGGACATTACAGCACCAACACAGGAGAGACTCGGAGTGGGGAGGTGTTTGGTATTATTTAATTTCTCTAATATCATTCTAAACTTCAAATTACTTACATAAAGCTTCTTTTTTCTGTGCATAGATACTTGCATAACTCTTTATGTACAACACATACAGTCACATTTTATAGTTTGTATAAAACTAAGAAGTCAGGCGGATGTAAATGCTGTGTTTGGCTGTAACTACGTGGTCTAAGATCACAATGAAAAAGGAATGCTACAAATTTCTCTGTGGAATGCGGTGGAGTAAGAAAACCCCACTCTTCTCTGTAGAAACCCTGTGGTGTTATGGAAGCGTAAATAAACGCAGATATTCCAGCACAATCCAGATTTCAAAGACTAGAAGATACTTTACGTTTCTATCTTAACAGTTGTACATGTAACAACAGTTTCCAAGTGTATTGCTGTGCAAACACCAGTTTACTTTTGCGGTTTCACTGCAAACACTTTTTGGATAAAAAAAACCAACTTATTGCTAGCAGTCACTCATGGTCAACGTGGTTGCAAGTCTACAGAATTAAATACGCATGTCTTTAAGAGAAGCTGTGGACCAGGAATGATATGTAAAATACATCATCATGTCATTGTTCATGCTTTTGTGAGCTCTGTTTCAGGAGCA